GGGGGGGGGGGCGGTGGAGGTGGAGGTGGAGAGGGTTCAAGTTCTTTTCATTCCCAGGAAGTCCCAGGAGAGCAGTTTGGGGATTTTATATAGGGGTGCCCTGTGCCTAGAGCAGCCCTCCCAAGATGCTTTCCAAGTCCAAGTAGCAGCTGAAATGACCCCCTTCTCAGCAGGAGGCACCCCTCCGCTTCCGTCTCCCAGGGTATTGGGGCTCACCACGTTGGGGGGCAACTTGTGCCCTGGCAGGTATTTGACATTCTCATGCTGTGTGTTGATGATCTCTGTCAGCTTTTTCCCCCCGACGTCTTCCTCAAACACCCACATGGTCACCCGTGGGTCAAAGTGTGACAGCTGGGCCGCATTGCCGCCCACAATCTTGGCGATAGCAGAGCCCCTGGTGGGAGGGAGAGCACAGAAAGTGGAGGAGTCAGGGCAAGAGGGAGGAACGGTGGCAGGGGAGGGGGCAACGCTCCACCTCAGGATGGCACCACAGCCTACCAGATTATTTGTTTGCCACCTTCCTTATGACCTGGACCACCACCATGAAAGTGCGTCTTTGGCAGTAGAAAGGAGACTTAGTCTATCTTATACTTTGCAGCTGGAAAAGGGGAACAGCCTTCAACCCCCCAGCCCTAAGCAGCTATTCAGGCAGAGAGGACTCTGGAAGCTCCCTTCCTGTGGTGAACAGGTGCAGCTGCCCGGGCAAGCAAGGGCCAGGAAAAGGTTTGGGCACCATCTGTCCTGTGGGGGTAGGCACAGAAGATACCAGGGGTGGTACAGAAATTGGAGGGCATTTCCTACCCAGTGTCTGCCTCCTGCCCACCAAGCCTCTTTCCCTAACCCCCTGTATACTTGGGGGAACCTCCCGTTCCCTCCCCATACTTGACAGAGTCACTTACCAGTTGCCGGAGCCTACAATGCAGACTTTCTTGCCAGCCATCGTGCCGCTGCTCTAACCGATCTGGCTCAGTGCTGCACTCCCAGCTTCTCTGCGGGGCTCGGAGCATATAACTCCACCACACGTGGGTGCAGCCAAGTCCCGCCCTCCAGGGGCGGGTGGGGAGGCGGGAGCCCAGGGAGACGGAATCTGGCAAAGCCAGGGAAAGGGGAGAAAAGAGACAGGTGGAGAACAGGAATGAGGCAGAGTCCAGGCCCCGCTTTTCTTTTTAGGTTTGCCAGCTGATGGTGCTAGTGAGCTTCTTCCCTTGGCCCCAGCCCTCCCTCCCTGTAATGGTCTCATTTTGAAATCTGCCAAGAAATAGCCCAGATGAGGAGCAAGTGACTGGTCCCCCCCCCCAATCCCTTCTGTCCCCCAGCACTGGCCTTAGTTGTATTCAGTCCTAGTAGCAAATACAGGAATGCTTTCTTTTCCAAGGTAGGAATCACGCCACATATCCTCCTAGGACCCCAAAGTCTGCTCTAGAGGTTTATCCTCTAGCAGTGACAAAAGACTACATGTCACTGGCCCCACACTAGCTCTGCTGCAGGGCTGCGTGAGTGAGGTGCATGGGTGTAGACTCACTTTTGAGGATAAGACTACGTAAGAGGTAAGGGCCTGCTTTGGGGGCATCCCAGCCCAAGGATTAGCAGAGACCTCAAGAGCCCCAAGAGACAAGGTCATCTCGGTTACCCAGTGTTCATCTCAGGGACTCACCCTTGGGCCTGTCTCCTCACCCCAAAGGATCCTCACCTGAATGTCTTCCAGGAAAAGAAGGTGGGAAAAGCCAAAGTCAAAAGCTCTGATGCCAAGTGGCTTACAATTCTCTTGCAGACTCTGGGTTTAAGGAAGAAGAGGACAGGACAGAAAAGAAGGCAGCTAAAGCATTCACTGTCCTTGAGAGGTTTTGAGCTTACTTCAAGTCTGTCTTGGGTTTCCAAGCTACCACATCATGGGCTCCCTCAGGTTACTGGCTAGTTTGCAAGAAGCCAGAAAGAGGGAGGCAAGACCTGGGGCAGCTATAACTTCTGTGGAGCTTTGTGGTCTCAGATCTTGTAATGGAGAAGTGGTGTGTGTGATTTGGGGCACAGGAAGAGACTGGAAAGAATACATCGAGGGGCACCTGGGTGGCTCAGTTGGTTAAGCATCTGACTTCGGCTCAGGTCATGATTTCACGGTTCGTTAGTTTGAGCCCTGCTTTGGGCTCTCTGCTGTCAGCACAGAGCCCGCTTCAGATCATCTGCCACCCCCCACCCCCGCCACCACTCCCCCGCTCACACTGTCTCTCTCTCAAAAATAAACATTAAAAAAAAGAAAGAACACATTGAACAGTCCAGGGCCCTACATCACCCACAGCCATTTGAGAAGAGAAGCAGCTCCGGTTTCTAGGCCGAACTGGAAGGGGACAAATGGCTCTAACACTCCAGCTGTCCCTGCACCTTGGCCTAGAGGGCAGACGCCACTGTCTGCTCATGTGCTGACCTCCTGGCTTGGCAGATTGCTGAGTGGGTGTTTTCATCCCTCTGGGCCACTGCTGGCCGCCAACAGCAACGAGCACTAGGCCAGAGGGGAGTCTGTGTGCAACCACTGTGTAAGAGTAAATGGGCTCGAGGGCAAGTCTGTGGAGAAAAGGTTTTTCTAAGTTCTAGGGACTGCCTGAGAAGAGCCCACCATATTCCCCTCCCATGGCCAGGGAGTTCCCATAGGGAAACATACACGAAGTTGGTAGTTGGTTTCCCTTAGGAGTAAAGTTGCACCTGCTACAAAGCCAGCCTCCCACAGATCGCTCCATTATTGCACTGGCACAGAGACAAAGGCACCAGTGCCAAGTGCCAGCTGGGAACACTGATTATGGGTGATGGGAGAGAAAGAATGCTTCTGTCCCTGGTGCATATGATGGGAATCCCAGAGAATGGACGCTTATGCATAAAACAACCCCCTTGTTTTTGCCTAAATGCTTCCTTCTCTCATTTTGCCCTTAAAATCATCTAAGTATGGAGACAAAGAAATTGTGCGTTTATATACGAATAAAGAGTGTGCAGATTCAGAATTGGCTCATCACAGGAAGTTATCTGTACCAGAGCTCTTTTCCCAAGAGCGAACTGTAGATTATTTGCTTGAAATTAATAATGGTTCATCAGCCATTCATTACACATGTAATTAGCCTGGGTAAAAACAGATGCCATGTCAATGTCCTTGACATCAATTTTTTCCACTCCCAAGTTCTCACCCCACACGTTCTTCTGTTTTTCCTACTCAAGTCTGGTAAACCCCCAAGTTCCAAATTGGGAACAGGCTGCATCCTTGGTGGGTTTGACTGCATGCAGGCAATACTTGGGTGTTCCCATCCGTGGAGGCGAAGGAGAATTTTTTTACAACTTTGGACTGCATTGCGCTCATCCTACATTCTAAACCCCTTCATGGGTAGAACCAAGCTAGACAACACCACTAGGTGAGAAGCTGGCATATTATGATGCGAACTGCAGAATTTCATGCTTCTGCGGACAGATCAATCCTGAGCAGTCTTCTCAACTCTGCAGAGGGGCTGATTATTTGTAGTATGGAGAGGACAACACAACACTTCTCTGCTGGTCTGAAGAACTGAAATCTCACTCAGGACCATGAAGTGGAACCTGAGAGGGACAGCAGGCAGAGGAACACAGTCTTCAGTTGTGCAGGCCCTACCTAGATAGGAGCCCTGAGAAGAGGAACTCCTCTACAGGTGGGTCAGGATCGTCAAGCCTAAGGAATCACAGGCACTCAAGGGCAGTGCTCTTGAGCCAACAGGTGCTGTGGGGAGCTCAGAAGGTTAGGGGGGATGGCAGTGCCGTGGTCTTGTTAATACCTCCCTAACAAGAGCCGGGGGCGGGACTCTTAGATCCAGTGAGGAAGGCCAATAATCCCAACCAGCACCTGGCCTGCTTGGACCACTGGGCCGACAGAGCAAGCTCTAAGGTGAGAACCTGATGTCTGCAGGGTAGAAACCTTGTTTTCCACCGTATTCCTAGTGCCTAGCACCACAGCTGGCACACAGCAGGTGCTCCATACATAATTGTCAAATAAAACGAATAAACACCATGAGCATGGCTAATGGGATTCAGAGAAAGAGCTCAGGGAATCGCTCTCCCTCAGCAGGTAGGGGGACCCATCCTTCAGAAGATTCTTTTATTAAAACTGGGTGACATCGATAAGGGGACAGTACAAAAAAAATTTTGGTCCATGAAAAAAACATAATTCAGTTAATAAAAACAGTTATCTTCAACAGGGACACTATGTAGGAGTGCTGAGCTTCCTTCTCATGGTTCCAGCCCCAAGGACAGAGGTTGTCCAGTGTCTCTGTGGGGAGAACCTTTTAAGGGAGGGGTGGGATAATGGCAGGAAGGGGAAGATGGGGAGAAAATTCTGCTGTCCCCAGTGTGGAACACGCAGGGATATGGGGCTGGAGGATGTGCTCGCAGGAGCCTGAGGAGGGGGTGGGGAAGCAGGGGCTTTGTCAGTTCTGTGGGGTTAGAGCCCAGGCTGAACGGAATTCCCCCTCTGTGCCCAGCTGTCTCCCACCCTGCTATGTTGAGTCTGCGAGCCTGGGATATGCTAACTCGGGGTGATACAACCTGGAAGAAGAATCTGAGGCTCTCCTGGAAAGATGCAAAACCATCTCAGTTCCAAGGGGCCAAGATCACAAGGTCCTGCTGCTACCTGAGGGGTCTGAAGCTTTGAGGGCAGGGGCTGGGGAGTCACAATCCTGTGAGGCAGGGAGAGGGAAGAGTCACAAACCCAACTCAGAGCTATTCGCTAGCCCTAGGCGCTTTCACTCCTCAGTGCCCTAGAAGTCACCAGTGGGTGTCAACTGGGCAAACAAGGGACAGGAAGACAGGGATGGCCCAGGGCTTTTACCCGTTTGATTTCAGGCCTGTTTCTCCATGAAAGGATGAGGGAGGCAGGGTGGAGTGAATAAATGAGTCACACCTCCAAGCAACAGCAGGAACAGCCTCTGCTGGCAATGATAGCACCCCAGGTTAGATCCCTGGGGCTCTGACAGGGAAAGGCAAGATCCCCCCACCCAAATGCCCTGAATTAGGACAGATGGATAGCAGAGGAATCCTACAAAGAGCAGCTATAGGGAGTGTGCTGGGAGGGAGCAACAGTTAAAAAACAAACTCCAATACTGATGTGGACCCCCTACGAGGGAGTAAGAGAAGCACTGAGACAGCAGGCCAATCCAGAGGGCTGCGGACTGACCTGGGGCTCAGTGGAGCCCAAGAGCCAGGGTTCCTTTAGTGCTAGAGGGCAACAAGTGAAGGAGGGGTGTGCTCCAAACCTGTGGAGGGAAGGAAGGAAATTGGATTCTGTTATCAGGAGAGCCAAGATCAACTAGCTTATAGAGTGCCCCCAGGCCTGAGTCTCAGAGAAGGGGCTAAAGCTCCCAACTCCTGGGTCTCTGAAGGGCAGGGTCAGTGTAGCCGGTCCCCTTGAAGACCACCTGGCCTTAGGCCCAATCCATTCAATGCACTGATTACCACTACAGGTTCTCTCTAATACTATCTAGAGGTCCTATGTAGACCAGGGGAGGGTAGAGGCACATGGGAACTTTGTGGGGCAAAGGGAAGCTGGGGGACAGGAAGGGATGGGGTGGGAGAAGAGGGTAACAGGCGTCTTATGAGACAGAAATGTGAGACCCTCTTCATTCTGGTGTTGTCCTTGAACCAACAGCATCCCCTGGAAGGCCCCAAGCAAGACCAAGGCAGGTGCTATGAGGCAGGCAGCACAGGGCCCAAATAAGAATCGGTGCAGCCGAATCAGGGCTGTGAGGGAGGCCCTATGTATTTCGAATTCCCAGGGCTTGCTCTAATTCTTGTCGTCTCTGCTGCACCTAGGGAGAAAGCAGTGAAGAGAATAGATGACACAAACCAGAAGCTGGTACCTAATTTCCTGACCCCCACCAGGGGTTCAGACCCCTTGCTTTTCGTCAGTTTCCCGTGCCCAGGCGCCTACCTTGGAGTAGAAGTATCGGCACACAGCCTCCTGGGCCCAAGGCTGGAAGTAAAACTCAGCTCGGCGCTCTTCCTCTGGGTTCCCCACCACATCAGTCATGGTCTGGAGGATACGGGAGGGGAAAAGAGAGAACAGGCTTGTGTCCCTCCTTCACACCTGTCATGGACTGAATTGTATCCCCCCAAAAGATGTCAAAATCCTAACCCCCTAGCACCTGTGAATGTGACCTTATTTGGAAATAGGGTCTCTGGAGATGATCACGTTAAGATGAGGTCATTAGAGTGGGCCTAATCCAACAAGATTGGTATCCTTATAAAAAGGGGGAACTTGGACACAGAGACAGACATGCACAAAGGGAAGATGACGTGAAGACACACGGAGAACATCTGCAGACCAAGGAATGCCTAAGGGCCATCACAAGCTAGGAGAGTGCCTCGGAACAGGTTCTACCTCACAGCCCTCAGAAGGAACCAGCCCTGCTGGCCCCTGACTTCAGACTTCTAGCCTCTGGATAAACAGTAAATACCTGTTGTCAGAGCCACCCGGCTGGCAGTACTTTACTATGGCAGCCCTAGCAAATTACTGCCACCACAACCAAAGTCACCTCCTGCCATCAACAAGTCATTGCTTTGTCCAGGGACCCTTTCTGGCTCCCCTCTTCCCTTGTTCCTCTGCACAGCCTCTGTAATTCTAGTCACAGTCACCACAGGATAGGAGAAAACTGAGGAGACATTTCAACTCATTCAGTGCTCATTTCCACCTTCTTGCCTGAGCTTATAGTGCTCCCCTCTCTGAGAACGACCTCAAATCCCAACTTCGCCACGGAGAACTCCCCAGCTATCCTAGCCTCATCCATCTCCGTTCTCCTTTGAACCACCTCATCGGTAGTGGTGAGTTCTGATAACGTCTTACATGGTTTACAACTTTGTGAGTAATACTAGTCTGTTCCCTTCCCCACAAAAGAAAATAACCTGGTCTGAAATAATCCTTTCTTTACTTTTGCTAAGACTTCCTTGCCCCACCCTCCTCCTCCTTATCAAAACCTTCCATTCTCAGGGGCGCCTGGGTGTCTCAGTTGGTTCAACATCCGACTTCAGCTCAGGTCATGATCTTGCGGTTTGTGAGTTCAAGCCCCGCATGGGGCTCTGTGCTGACAGCTGGAGCCTGTTTCAATTTCTGTGTCTTCCTCTCTCTCTGCCCCTCCCCTGCTCTCGCTTGCGCTCTCTCTCAAAAATAAACAAACGTTAAAAAAAACTAAAAACAAAACAAAAACCTTCCATTTTGTACAATCCTCAGAATGCCTATTTACTGGAAGGGATGCTGCCTGATTCATAAATCATTGAATAAAACCAATTAGACCCTCAAATTTTAAATCAATCAATCAATCAATCAATCAATCAATCAATCCTATTAGCCTACTTTCTCCAAACAGAATGCAGGGTGCTTGGACAGGAGAGATCCAATTTTCTGCTCTGCATCTCCTACTATATGGTACACAGTGACACCTCATAGTAAGTAGTAGATAAACACTTGATGGTTCCACCTCCAATTCCCTACTTGATTGTAAAGTGTACCCTACAACATGCTAAAGAAAATCTGGTCCTTCGCTCCCCTCTCTGGCTCTTCTACCAGATGCTACAGAAATAAAGCAAATGTGTGCCCCACTGACCTAAGTCTCTTTGCACCTTTCCTAGGTTCTTTACCTTGAGGTCCCGGCATTGGGACTGAAGCCAATCATTGATGAAACCCTGAGGGTCTCTGGCAAAGCTCAGCATGAACTCCCGCTGGGTCTTCAGCTGATTGATAGTTTCTATTGTCTCATGGATCTGAAAGAAGAGAAGGAAGCTCATAACATTTTCAAACTAGGAAATGCAAAGTTAAATGGCAGACACTGTCTGACATCTCCATGTGCCTGCCACTCCCAGCCCGGGTCCGGAGTGCCACCCAGAGCCCTAACTGCTCCAGCACTCGACATTCTTTCAGCAGGTATGTAGTTTTCCTTCTGGTCTCCACAGGGTCCACTATGGGTGAAACTACATGGTGAATACTTAATCCACAGCACAAATGGGTCCAAAAACACTCTCAGGTAGAAAAGCAGTGGTACACACAGCTGTCTCAAAAGCTATGGTCTAGGGGTTTCTTCCTGCCCTTTTCTCATTCTCTGTACTCTTCCTGGCAACCTCACTCACTTGCATATCTTCCATTACTAATGACAGGTTAGGGAGTCCTCAGTAGGCAGACCAGAGTCCATTTTCTAAACTTCAACCAATCCAACTGCTTGACTTCTCAAGGCTCCTGAAACTCTCCAAAACATAATTCACTACCTTCTCCCCAACACACACTTCTCCTCCTGTTCTCCAGTTGCCCATCTGAATAAATACTACTATCCACCCAAGCTAAAAACCTGGGAGTCATGCCTCCTTCTCCCTCAAGCCTCACCCCACCATCCCCATCAAAATAGTATCCAAATCTCTTCAGTTCCACTTAGACACCTCTCAGATCTGTCTACTTATTTTCATCCTCACTGTCAGTACCACAAATTTAGGCCCTCAACACATCTCACATGCGTTACTGCACTGGCCTCCTAACTGGGCTTCCTGCCTCCAGATTAGAACTCACTCTCCACCTTCCTGCAGGTTATCATTCTAAATGCAAAGAGCAGGACTTCCTCCTGTCTTCAGGACAAAATACAAACCAGCCCTCCCTATATCAAAGCTTCTTCATGACTAAGATCCTGCTTCCCCACCAGGTTTCCTTTCTCCAAACTTCCTATCCGTAGCTAGCACCCTGAGATACAGCTAGCACACGGGACGGCTTGTACTTCTTAAACGCCAGGCTCACGCTCTCATCTTTCGACCTTTACATACGCTGTTCCCTCTTTCTGGAATGTCTTCTGCCTCCCATGCCCCTAAGCACCACTGTCCCTTCTCCCCTTTCCTTAACTCTTGTCCTTCAAGATTTAGTTGGGGCATCAACTCTTCCAGGAAAGCCACCCTGTTCTCTTTTGCGTTCCTCAGAGCATTTCTGGCTTTACCCGCATGGACTATGTCTAATAAGGATAGTAATAGGAAGAGCAGCAGTTACCATTTGTTCTTACGTGCCAGATGCAGAGTCATCCTTATCTACATGGTCTCATTTAATCCTCATAACAACCCTTACAGAAAAGTTCTTATAATCTCTATTTCGCAGTTCAGAACCTGAGGCTCAAACCTATTAAAAGTTATAGCCAGAATCAGTGTCTGGCTGCAACCGGCACCAAGCACAGTACCTGGCATATATTAGGTGTTAATATATTTTAAATGAACACCAAGAGTCAAAAGACAGCCTAGAAGCTACGACAGGAGGCTGGTGACACCCAAGCCACCCTGGGCAGGGGCCCCTACCTTGTTGTCTAGAGTAGCAATCTCCTGCTGGCTGGCAGTAGACAGCAGAAAAGAATTCATCTGGGTCTTCAAAGTATCATCCACTTCCACGTCAATGTCGTAACAGGCGGTCTTTTTCTGATCATTTGGGTCAACACTGGGGAGGAAACCAAAGGAGCCTGGTAAAGGGCTTGTCCCCTAAGACCTATTTACACAGGGTCAAGAAGAAGGCCCAAGAATGAAGGGTTTGACTGCAAAAAGGCACAAGAGAACTTTTGCGTGACAGAAATTTCCTGTACCTTCTTTGCGGTGGCAGCTGCTACATGGTGTTACATTTGACAAAGTCTCAAACTATATTTCAAGTGTGTGTGACCTACTGTATATAAACCTCAATAAAGTTGTACTGTTCTTTAATCAATGGTAAAAATTCAAACGGTACAAAAAACATCCAGGGAAAATTAAGTTTCTCCCTCCCCAAAGGAAACCAATACTGCAGTGTCTTATATGTCTTTCTCGCTGTTAAACCAAAATTGACCTGAAAATAAATTCTAATAAAACACATGCCAGGGCGCCTGGATGGCTCAGGTGGTTAAGAGTCTGACTCTTGATCTCAGCTCAGGTCTTGATCTCAGGGTCATGAGTGCAAGCCCCGTGTTGGGCTCCCTGTGTTGGTGGGCATGGAGCCTACTTAAAACACACACACGTACACACACCATACAAAATAAAAAGTGGCTTAACCTTACACACAGGAACCCAGGACAGATCACCTTCTAATGATCCAACACATAAGTTGGAGGAGTTACCATTGGCTGAGTGATGGTTCATATAAAGAAAGGAAGACCTTTATTGGAATTAATATGGAGTAAGGGAAAGAAAGCAGAGAGTCTATAGCCAGCCACCTGCTGCCGTGAGGAGGAAGGGCATTCCTTCACTCCTATATGCGGAGACACTTTTGCCCATCCATCTTCTGAACAAAAAAGTGGAAGGAGATAACGGAATTGGGAGTCTCAGATTAGAATGTTTTACCATCCACAGAAGAGACGGCAGCCCATCAGCGATGAGCCGGTAAATGTCTAACAAATGATTCTCCAAAAGAGGAGGAGAAAAAAAAGCTAATTCTCCAAAAGAGAAGGAAAAAAAAAAGCATCTGCTGATTTCTGTGGTTTAAATATTCCCAACGTGGCTGACTTCAAGCTGTCAACGTTAGGTCACTGATCAAGGAGCTGGGAAGAGATGTGCAGTTAAGACATCATGACACAGGTATCCCCTAGTTTTGGATTCACGTTACGCCACTTTGCTTTTCTGAAAGGCCTACATTAGTCTTTCTGAAGAGAATTTTCACATTTACGAAAACAGGCAAGAAGCAAAAACAGCGTTCGGCATTTATTTTGCAGCAGCATTATAGAGGCAGCACACACCCTGAGCAGCAAACGACACCACCAATCTCCTCCTCCGGGAAATACCCTTGGCATCTCAGCATCAAGCCGCTACAGCTTTGAGTTGTATCTGTGAGCATGTGTGCTTTATTTCATCATATTTTATGCAAAAGAGGTTATTTGGGGGGTCTGGGATGCTCACAATTTTTTCCATAAAAATTAACAGAAAATTGGGGCGCCTGGGTGGCGCAGTCGGTTAAGCATCCGACTTCAGCCAGGTCACGATCTCACGGTCCGTGAGTTCGAGCCCCGCGTCGGGCTCTGGGCTGATGGCTCAGAGCCTGGAGCCTGTTTCCGATTCTGTGTCTCCCTCTCTCTCTGCCCCTCCCCCGTTCATGCTCTGTCTCTCTCTGTCCCAAAAATAAATAAATGTTCAAAAAAAAAAAAAAAAATTAACAGAAATCACTTTTTTGCTTTGTGCCATTTCGGCTTATGAAAGTTTTCATAGGAATGCTCGTACTTTGGGATAGTAGGGGAAACTGCCTAGTACTTCCGCTATATATACGCAACTAATAAGATGTAATAAGGTGAGAAATGATGAGTTTTTGAGTATGTGTTACCCTCGTTTCTCCTGTAACATGTTTTTTAATGTTTATGTATTTTGAGAGAGAGCACACGCATACAAGTGGGGAAGGCGCACAGAGGGAGAGAGAGAATCCCAAGCAGAATCCACACTCAGTGTGGAGCCCAATGCAGGGCTTGATCCCAGGACCAATCCCAGGACCGTGAGATCATGAACTGAGCCAAATCAAGAGTCGGACACTTAACTAAGCCACCCAGGCGCCCCACTCTAATGTAGTAAGTTGTAAGTTTATATGTAACTTAAGTAACTGCTATTTGACCACCTGCTTCCTGAAAATTTAACAACTGCCTTATGCAAGTTGGTACCAGCCCACCCCAGCACAGTGCTGCCTCTCATACATACACATGCCTACCTGATGACATGATTAATGATGATGGGCTCTGGTGGCATAAGCAAGGCATGGAGCCGTTGAGGGATCTCTGAGAACTTCATACGTTGAGACTCAAAGATCTATGTGAAAGAGGAAAAGCAGCTAAGAAGTTGGCATTTTTTTTTTTTTTAAACATTTATTGATTTTTGAGACAGAAAGAGACAGAGCATGAACCGGGGAGGGTCAGAGAGAGGGAGACACAGAATCTGAAACAGGCTCCAGGCTCTGAGCTGTCAGCACAGAGCCTGACGCGGGGCTCGAACTCACAGACTGCGAGATCATGACCTGAGCCGAAGTCAGCCGCTCAACCGACTGAGCCACCCAGGCGCCCCAGAAGTTGGCATTTTGAGCACAAAACTAATACTCTACTGGTCTTTGGCAAAGAATGGGTCCTTTTCTTACCTGCTGGAGGTACTTGTCACAGATGACAAACTCCCGCTCATGAGGGTCCTGGAGCTTGTGTGTCTTAATATATTGCCACAGTGCTTGGATGATCACTGGACGGGTCTGGGTGTGGATGCCCAGGAGCCGAGCCAGGCGAGGGTCTAATTTAAACTGGGGAGGCTGTGGAGAACCAAAGAGTACAGGGATGAATCTAGTGAGCTGGGCCCACATGCATTTTGGGGTGCTTTAGCAGGGCCATACATTCAAGCCATTTGACAAGCACTAATGTACTGTTTTCTCTGGGACCAAAAAACACTAGGAGGAGCTCAGAGATGACTAAGACCCTATCCCTATATCTCAGGAGCTTAGAGTCTGGTGACAAGGTACCCACAACTAGAGTTAAACCTTTAAATATCGGGCCGCCAATGGGATGTGGCTGTGAAAGCTGGATCCCCTGACTTCACCACAGAATACCTGGTAGTCCAGCATCAGTAGGACAGTACACCGTACATTCACATCTCCTGGCCGCTTCACCTGGAAGCCATCCGTCTCCTGGGTAGTGGCGGTCCTGTGCCACTACAGAGAGGAAGATGTCAGGGGGAGCTCTCCCACAGGAAGAGCTGGGGTGGGAGGGAAGAGCTTCTGTAATGACTGAATATTCAACTTTGATTACTGAGGCTATTGGAAAAGAGCAATAGCATAAGACATTTTTAAATACCGCATAAAGCTCTGGGATTACTGTCTGTATATAAGCAGATTAACCTTTTGATTCTGTACAGGGTCACATTTAAATTAGCCGAAATTTTCAGTGGTAATTTTATCCACAAAATGGTTAATACACATGTACACAGTAAAATAACATAGCTATCATTTCTTGAATATTTACTATGGACAAGAGTCTTCTAAGACATTTCCCTGGGATCATCTCATTTAATTCCCACAACATCCACATAAGATAGGCACAACTAAACCTATTTTACAGGTGAGCAAACTAATGCTTAGAAGAGTGAAGTTAACTTGCCCAAGATCAAACAACCACTAAGTGGTGGCCCTGTGATTTGAGCTCTGGTGTGTCTGATTCTAAAGCCCATGTTCTTAGCCACTATACTCTACTGCTATAAAGTCCAGTTAAATATATTTACAAATTTCTATTGGTTCTATGACTTACTTCCCTTATTAGATGGTAAAGACCTTCCCATGTCTCTTAGTGGTTGAGGTTAAGGGGCTGCAGCTACACTGGCAAAGAAAGGAGCAGGTTAAGTTCATTTAGAGAGCTGGACTGTCTCATTCTGTTTTGACTGTACCCCACAGAATACTGTCGTTAACACGGTCTTCAGAACATTGTATAACCAGGCATTACAACAAAGGGTTTTTGCTGATGTGGAAAGTGAATCTAAACAGGGACCAAAAGAAAGTCCCAGATCTATCGACGGAGGTAACCCTGCAGGGACTCGAACTCTATTAGTTAACCCCCTTAATGACAGTACCTGCTATCAGGAAAAAGTATGAGTAGGGTATGGATAACTACATCTCACCATTATTAATAAGCAAGATGCACAGATGGCCTGGGATGTGTAAGAGGCCTCCATTAGAATTTCCCTTGAGGCAGCAACCAGGATAACATTAAAAACGTGGGACAAGTCAGACTGTAAGAGCTCTTGGGTCCAAACAGTACCAGAACTAAACAGCTAGTGCCACCTGGAGGTCAGTGTACACACTGCAACAGTAGTACTGCGTGCTAGGGGTTACCCTTTCTTTAAACCTCCCCCCTCACCCACGTTCATCATCCTCCAGTTATGGAATCAAAGTCTACAGGACAGAACTACTCACTTCTACCAGATGGTTGTCTGGCCCATACAGGTCTTTGTCCAGTTCGATCACCAAGGACTTAAAAAAAGAAGAGAATTTCCTCTTTTGTTTGGTGGCATCATATTTGGACAAGGCTGACTAGAGGAGAGAGAGAAGAGGTCATGTTAGAAAAGACCAGAGAAATTTCTCAAGACAAAGTCCCATAAAAAAAGGAACCCACACAACAGTTGGGGGGGGGGGACTCAAAAATGTCTTCTGAATCTCCCTCAGGAGATGACAAAGCAGGTGTCTGTAGGTATTAAGCCGGTCAGGGTAGCCACAGAACCCTGAAGAAGCAGCCTATAACATGTACAGGGTCACTGACTTACCCACCTCATTTCCCTAAAGGAAATGAGGCAAGTTAGGCCAAACTGTTGCCCATAACAAAGCGAGTCTGAACAGAGAAAAGTCTGACTCTAGAGGGGAAATGAATCACAGGCAATAATCAGCCAGAACAAAAACAGCTTTATTTGGATGGAATGATACCACCAGCAGATGGACTGGACCTATATAGAGGAGGAAGCTCTGACACAGAGCCCCGGTTCTCCTTCAAAAATGCATTCTAATTAGCTTGCTTATGAATAGCTAAAAACAGACCATCAGAGAGTGTAAGGGAATAAAAGGTGAGCTTCCCCAAGGAGCTTCTGGGATGGGAAGTAGAGGGCTAACACCCGTCAGCTGATATTCCCCATGATGCAAAGAAAACTATCTCACTTAAACTATGAAAGGCTGGAGAATGAAAATTGGGAAGGTGGAGATACCACAGTGGGAATCAAGGACCTCATGGACAGAGAGGAAAGCATGTCTTCAAATGCTAAGTGCAAAGTCACTTGACTTTAGAGAAACAAAAAACACAAACTGAATAATCTGCAAAGGCTAAGTCCAACGGCCAGCACCATCAGGAGGAAGGTTAACAACAAATCAAACCCCAGAACAATAAGGTTCTCGATATGATACCACAGCAAGGGCCAAGCTGTGGGAGCCAGACACAAAGCACCATTGTCTTTTAGTGCAGGGAACACAGTGACTCTCTCCCTGCTGTTCGCAATAGGAGCTGTGAGCACCAGTCAGGATTCTTGCCAACCAGACAACACTGCTTGCTCCCAGAAGCTTCCACCCTAGATGTCAACCACAGCGGACTTTGAACTCACATCCTCCAGGAGCCGTCCTTCTACCCGAAGCTCCCAGGAAGCCACCGTCCCTTCCCCATCCTCGGCATCTGACTTAGCCGGATTGAAAGTGTTAGAAATGAAAATTCGCAGCTTCCGTTTTTGCTGAAGAAAGCAGAAACAGGATTGATGGTGGGGCTTCAGTGGTTTGATATTTAAAGAATCTCCCCAACCCCCCAAATTACTCCTAACAGACTGGCTTACTATCTACCCAGTCCCTGGGCTGGGTAGATTGAGATTTCATCTAGAAGAATATCGTCCACTGGCCTGAGTGCAACTGCACAAGCTAGGATTGCAAATAGACAAAGTCATGCAAGGTGCCAGGTTCCCAAGGTGGCAGAGGAGTTACAGCAAAAACAGGGACAGGGTATATTTCTGGTGTAGGAGATATCAAAAGCCCCTCCCCCTTTGCTGTTCAGTTCTAATGTAATTCTCAGTTCGTAGGCGGATGGGAGAGATATAATTTAAATGCCAAGGAGAGCCGTGCTGCGCCTTTGATTTCTCATCCTAAGCCTATGGAAGGTTCCCGAGTCCTCTCCTTTGGCGCTCTGCCTAGCACTCTCCTGCATTACCTTGATGGGACGTTTCAAGGCCTCCTGGATATCTAGCCGTTTCCTCATGATAGTCTGGTCCAGCTTCCTTTCAAAAGCCAAGAGATCCATATAGGCCTGGGATTCTGGTACCAGTTCACGAATCTTAGGAACAAAAAGGCATCATTGAGATCTAGAGCTGACCGTCTCTATTTTCAAACTCAGCACATCCTCAAGAAGATCTACGTCCTGGACTCACCCTTTGAGGTAGAATTTTGTCAGCCATCTTCTTTTTCTTTGCACTGTTTGGAATAAATACTGTGATCAGGTTGGGATGGAACTAGCCAGAACATGAAGACAGACTGGTCAGCACCTCCATTTATAGGAAAATGAAGGAACTGCAAAGCGTCTCTCAAATCAAAGACACTCCGCCTACCCCAACCCCCACCCATGTGAGGCATTCTGAAGAATGAGCACCCATCTGACACAGCACCACCACTTCTGGATTCAGGTTCTCCCACTACCTATGTCCTCACGGGCTCCCTCCCTCTTTCCCTCCCTCCCTCCCTCCCCCACCCCAGGGTCATCTTACTTGTGGTTTCGATTTTGGACCGCCTGCTGCTGGACCTGCTGTATCTGCTGAGGCGCAGGTCTCTTGCGGGACTGGTCCATCCCTGACTGGGCCAGGCCAGGTCGGACTGAAGGATTCCCCCCATAGCCAGGGGGTCCCATGGAAGGTCCCTGAGGTGTCATTCGGCTGCCTGGCAGCATACCTGGTCTCTATAGAGAGGAAAGGACCCAGAGATGTCATGACTTCCCTACTAGCCCCACCAAGTAAGAGAAAGTGAAAGACGCCTGAGTTCTTTAAATGAAACAAGGTTGGCGGGGGG